GACACACACACACACACACACACACATACACACACACACACACACACACACACACTCACATACACACGCATGCACACTTAAACATTGATATGCTCACCAGATCTTAATAACTCTCTGAAACAATATTTCAGCAGGTTCCACAATCACACTGGAATTTAATGGGAATCCCAAGATGTGTAAATGGCAAAGAGGTTATAATATGGTTTATGGACAATTACTACTCATCTGTTCCTCATTACCTGAGCTTCTACTAACTTTTACAAAATATGTGAGGCAGCGTGGTGGAATCAGGCTCTCGTCAAAATAATCAAAGTGAAGAAACTTGCATTTTCCCGCAGGTTTGTGAAATTTTATCAAATTTTTGTTTTTTGACGCAGCACTTTTCATACCCATTAAAGAACTCATTTCTGTGTGGATTTTTCTGAAAAAAGTTGATTAAAGGCACAAAAAATGTAAATTTTCGGTTACCACGGACTCTTAAGCTAAGAAGGTTAAATATTTGTCGGCCATTTTTTCACTGATTTTTCCTCTGAAAACAGGTGACCCCCACATCCTTCATTCTCAAATGTCTCGACTTGTATTTAAGATAAACGAATATTTTTTTCATCCTAATAAAGACAAGTGAACAAGCTTTAAGATGGTACCAATAACTCTACATGCCCAAAAATTGACGAGTGTCTGATTCCTCAACGCTGCCTCACATATGTGTCCGCATATATCGTGATATATTATAGCTCAACCATGTATGAACTCACCACATTGTATCACAAAACTACGATGTATATGAAACTTGGCAGCTGGTGGCCCCAGAATAACAAGGTTTTGATTCAGAGGTTGTTTTTTTAGGGGGGGGGGGGAGTATTTTAATGTGTTTGGAGGTACAGTGCCCTTGGCTTTCCCATGACTCTCTCAACGTCATATTGTAGGGAATTTTATAAAACTATTAATCCTTTGTTCTTCTAATATATAAGCAGGTTGGTTTTTGTTCTTCTTTTCAGGGAGATTTGGTATGTAAACCGTTGGACCTCAGATATCTCAAAAGAGAGTGTAGTTGTGAGAAAGATCCTTGTTATTAGGGGATCTGGGGTTGGTTGTCACTGCACTCTCCTCCTCTGACGTAAGGATTACAATCATGTTTTTAATGATGTATTTGAAAGATGGGAATTATGCTGTATGTTATGCCAAAAGGTGTTACATTTCATGCTCTATTTTAGTTTGACCCGATGAAGATATGCCTTGACCTCTTGACAAATAAATGTTTTGTTCAGTTTGTAATCAACATGATTCTGTCGTTATCGATTTACTGCATGGGAATATGTGTATGTGTATGTGGTAAGTGTGTGGGGTTTTTTTTTAAATAGAAGAGGGTTTTACGACTCTCGCAACTGTGTGTGTGTGTGTGTGTGTGTGTGTGTGTGTGTGTGTGAGTGTGTGCGCGTGTGCGTGTGTAAGTGTGTATGCACGAACGTTTGTATTTATGTACGTGTGTACGTGAGTGAAT